ATGGTAGGGGATGTTGGGGAGAGAGAAAGGAGGCTGTGATACACAATTGAGAAATACTGGGTCCCTTCATCCAAGGAAGTGGAAATCTAGTTGGAGAGACAGATAGGCAGAGTGTAGAAGTGCTTAATAGAGGGCCAAGCGCCGTATGGTGGGGGAAACCCCGAGGAGAAGTTAACTTCCATGGGGAGGGAGTGGGGGTCAGGGAAAGTGGCATGAAAGAACCAGCTTGAGTAATGGTTGAGTGGGATTTCAACAAGCCCAGAAGGGCATAGAAAATGCTGAAGGAGCAGTCCAGAAAGCGCTTGTCTTGTCCAAAGAATGGTGAGAGGGCTGGTTTGGTGAGAACAGAGGCTTTGTGAGGGACATGGATGGGAAGGAGGCTGGAGCAAGATCAGGGAGGGCCGTGGAAGCTAGGTGAAGGCTTATGGAGTTGATTTTGTTGCCAATGGGCAGCCAATGCCAGTTTTTGGGAGGGCAGATGATTTCTTAGTTTCTTCCATCTCTAACACTGTCTGTTTGATTAAAAACTTTATTAAGAGTCTTAGGGAGGCAGGGAGGCTTGACCTTGAGAAGCCTCTGGGGTGATTTTAGCCCCTTTCCTCATTTTCCCCCCTTTGGCTATAAAATCCAGAAAGGCTGTTAGTTGTTTACAGAGTTTAGTTTAACCAGACATGCTGTCTCCCCATCTAGACCCAGGGCTCTTAGAGGGCAGAGAACAGGCCTTCCTCAGCATGCAGTGGGCTGTTGGAATGCGTCTCCAGCAGCAACCTGCTGCAGTAGGGTTCATGCATTTGAGATATATGAAGAGCCAACAGGGGCGATGAATTCTCCCCCACGGCCCCTCCCAGGGCACAAAGGGAAACACTATAGAGCACATAGTGTATGTAACTCATGGTCAGCCCTGCTTCACTCTTTCTTTCCTGAATTTGCAGGGTGCTTTCTGTACCCTCCACTCCCCTAGTCTGCTTTCAACTGCAGTGGCTTAAAATGAGCCCTTTGATAGTCCTAAGACTCTGAGTTCGAGCTCTGACTTCACCTTCAAT